TGCGAGACAGTGATCAACACAAAGCAGGGGGGGGTTCTCTCCGTCTCATACCTTGCTGCATATGTTGTCAATGTACTGTGAGACAGTATTGACTAATCTAAGGAGAAACTATTACAGTGGTGGTGCTGCACTCCCATGCATGGTTCTAAGCTAGATGCATATATGCATTTGGCTATTCATGACATCCTGTTGGTGAAAGAGGCATGTAATAAATGTACATGCATACGAGTGTTGAGCCACCACAGCCATAGTTGCCAAATTACACTATAAAGTACAAAAAAATTACAGAAATTAAAAACCTATTCTAGCTCTTTTTTCAATTTGCCAAATGTTCACATTCCTCAATAGAAGCCAAAAGTGACCTTTAACACTTGAAAAAACAATTTAAAAATTATTTTATCAGTTTCCTTTTTGCAATTCAAAGAAACCTTTTCCAGGTGGTCACTTTGTTCCCACCACATGTACTCGATGAAATAATATGGAACAAATATTAACAAGTAAGGATGGAACTACTCGTGTACTTGCAGCCATCACATATCCCTAATGTAACTAATTATCTGTTAATACAGGAAGAGTCATTTCATTAATAGATTGAAAATGTGACTGGAAAAAAGTGACTGGTCAGAGTAAATGAGTTAGGTCTAATTGTAGCCATGCAGCACGGTGTAATTTAAACAGGGTACTTTTTTTATGATACATTCTCTTCTTACTGAAAAATTTTGCCGGAAAAATCATATCCATTCACATGTTGGTACTTACATGTATCTGTTGGATCAACTGAAAATGGGCCGCCCTCAGTTTGATTCCAAGATGAAAGTGACAAATCAATCAAGATCCACACTTTATACGTACATGTATGAGCAACATTGTGTAAACAGTTTGCTTCTTATGAAATGCAATAAATTACTTGAATGAGGTACAGCTGCATAGTTGTTGGTCAGTGGCTTATTCATAAAGTTGTCAGTGTTTCCCCCTTGAAATGTAAATTAGTACAAAGGAATTATTCTAGGAATGTATTGGTTCCAAATTTTTCTTGGTATTTATTTTCCTCCTTCCACCTTGAAAAACGTTTTCAGTTTCTTACCAGTATAAAGGTTTCCACTTATGTTCTACTGTACATGCACATATTGGAAATAAAAGACAAGGTTACTTCACAGCAGAAACAGTTAAAGTAATTCAACTGAGAGGATACACCTGCTGATAAACAGGTTGAAGAAGAATAATAATAATACCATGTTTTGTACATAGAACTACATGGTATGGTTGAGACAGTAAAAATATATTAGTGTGATCTCGAACTTTTCAGAATAGGTCCAGGTTGGTCATCATCAAGAAGAGCATCTTGTAAACCCAACAGAACAATTTTCATCCAACATACTATCTTTGCTTGATGGATACATTCCTTGGGATGAGTTCCACAGTTTTTCTAAACATTTTATCCAAGAACATCAGGTCTTGGCTACAAAGTGCCCTGTGTATTCACCCCAAACAGGCCACAGTATATTGGGGTTAGTCCCACAATCAGTTTCTATAAAAATGTTAATTCAATCCAACCAAGGATTATTTATCGTTTGCACTATCATGCACCATGGCCCATGTGTGGAGCACAATTCAAAGAAAAACTGTCTTGGAAAAAGCAAACATTTGTGAGCATGTTAAAAATGGATTAAAAACTAAGGGGTCATCTATTTTTGTAATTTTCACAAGAGTACCGAGTACTCTTTCCTGCGCCCCCCCACCCTGTGAAAGAGTACAAAATATTTTTTTTTTTGTGGTGCCTGAGGCCCCATTCTCACTCACAATGCAAGGCTATTAATCTGCAGTGGACAACTGGAGCCTGGGAGAACAGTGGCAGGAGGAAAAACAATGTCTATGACATCAGAGCAAGTCACCTGGTATGCTCAGAATTCAACTTGCTACTGGCAAGAAACATATGATAGGCCTATATACATGTATATCGTCCAATACGCATCGCACGCACGCACAAGTGTGGGCCATTTTCTTTACATGACGATTATCTACACTTGTACCATCCATTGCGCTTGATTTGGAACCTGAACATGTGTGCAACAGGAGTTGAAACTCCAACCAGACTGCGCACATATAGCAGCAGGAAGCATAACTTATGGCCAGTTTATAATTGTCATTTTTAACATGTTTCTAAAGCACACATAGCCAATAAACCCCTCCCCCAGCGTATGGTTTGTAAGCTCATGAAAATGACAAAAATGGACTTCTCACACTTCAAAAATCTTTGTTGATTCATTAAGATTCACATGTACTTTTCAGCATCAAGTTGAACATTGACAATTCATCACTGACAACACAACACCCTCTGCACAATTTTGAAAGTATCAGATTTTGCTGTCAGTTCTGAATTTAAAATGACTTGGCAAACACAAGGCAACAAATCAATTCCACCATTCGAATTACAGGTTGCTACAGGTTGATATCATTAATATCCATAAAGGATTCCAGAGGCAAATTGAATGATTTCTTTAATCAAATAATGACTAAATGAAATGAAGATAATCAATTCCTACAATCACTGTTGACTATGGACTCATCTAATCACCTTTTTTAAATGCAAAACCAACCAGCTTGGAATTAGTTGATGACACCAGTGGCTTCTTGACTACACCACTGTCTTGACCTATCAATTTCATCTGACCTTTGACCCTTTTCTCTGACCCCTGTGTGACATCACCATCTTGAGGTAGTTTACGTTTCTTTCCCTCGGAGAGTTCAGTCATTTCTTAGATGGCATTTTCTTTAGGTTCAGTGTCTGCTTCAGAGGATTGAACCAAGAGTTTTGCTTTAGCTCCCCATTCCTGTAAACCAAACATTCACAAGGTGAAAAGTTGACTTTTGGTGGTCTTCTCTGAATATATTTGTTGTAGAGAAGAATCTATTACAGGCACTACACATTCTTGATACTGCAGTGCCAAGGCCCATTGATGACGCATGATTGCATTTCAGTTGATAATAATATTGAAACTAAATTTGCCGATAACATGACTTTATGGGACTTGATTCGATGCAGTGATGAAAGTGACTATCCTCGCCAGGTCGGGAAGCTCATGGGGTGGTGCTCAGAGAACAACCTCAAGCTGAATGTGGCTAAGGTAAGGAGATTTTTGTTAGAACAAAACTCTGATTTCTCCTTTGTTGAAAGAGTTGATGTTTTCAAGTTCCTGGGCATTTACATTGCAAGCGACCTGACCTGGTCGGCACAAGTTAATCACTGCGTGAAATAGGCCCAGCAGCGGGTTTTCCTCCTACATTAGATGAGGAGCTTCAGTTTCGGTCAGCAAGTGCTGACTGATTTTTACCGGTCTGTGGTGGAGAGCGTTTTGACACTCTCCATCACGGTCTGGTATGGCAGCTCCACAGTGGCCCAGCAAACACTCTTAGAGTAGGTCATTAAGACGGCGTCCAGGATCATCGGTCAGCTGCTGCCATCAGTGGAAGGAATTTATGTGGCAAGGCTACGGAAGAGGGCTGTGGCTATTGCATGGGATGAGTTGCACCCAGGCAATGCTCTGTACAAACTTCTCCCTTCTGGAAGATGGTACAGAGCTGTAGCGGCTAAAACTAAACGAGTGGCAAGTGGCATCTACCCCAGTGCCGAGCAGGAGCTGAACAACTCAGTGTAGTTTTATGGAGTTCTTTTATGCTTTTTATTCTTCGCTAATGTAAATGCATTCCTTATTCCCGTCTTTGGTATATTTGTATTGTAGTATTAATCATTTGTTTATTGCCGTATGGTTTTTTAGCAGAGCAAGGACTAATCAATGTCCACCATGTATGTTATTTATATATGAGTGGCGAATGAACTATGAATTGATTAGAAGTCATTACAAGTATTACACAGCTACACTTGTGTGCCTTTCAGTCAAACTAAAACTTTCTGAGCCTATGATGGACAAGAATTATGGAAGATGCATCAGTTTTGATAACCCAGTACCATGCATTTGAAATGTAATTTGTGTCTTCATGTTCAATCTTGTTGGTTTGAAGAAGTGTGCTACAGATTAATGGTCAGTCGCACAATACCAACCACTTAACTGGTGAAAAAAACTAGAAGACAAGGGTACTGCAATATACTTTCTGTTGTGTGTGTAGGGGGGTAGGTAAGTTGTCTCAGGTGGAATGACCCAAGGGATTGATTCCCCAGCTTCTGCTTCCTTTGACCCTCAGGTTTGTCTCATGTTATCAGTTAAAGACACTTGCTTCATGCTATGATTTTGTTTAAATTCTATATATTTAATTAACCAATGGTTTCATGCACTACATGCCATTTACAAATTAAACTCTAGACAGGAAATAATTTTGCATGCAACATTGTCAAAGAGGTGAAGTGATTTGTATCTAAGCCAAATGAATGGTTCTTACACCACTGGCATTGATAAATTACCTTCTTTTCTTCTGGTAGAAGTGATCGCCATCTTTGTGTGGCCAGCTTTATCAGATCAGATTCAGACAGCTCCGCATTTTCTTCAGCAAGACTGGATCGATTCTCTGACAGCCAGTAGGAAAAGGCTGATGGTGTTCTGGGGGAGGAGAAATGAAGATTGAAAGGTATCTGATCAATACAAGCGTGGCTCACAAATACAAAGACAAGAGAGCATGAAGTGTTTTACTGAGGATTTCCCAAAATCTTTCAGAAGAGTAATAACACAGCATGCATTGTCTGACAAAGTGTGATCAATGGTCAATAAAAACTGGTTTTAATTGATGGTGACATCCCACAGAATATGAATCCAACACAGTTCTTTTACACACGACTACATAATTCGGTACGATAGAATCTGACTCGGTTCATGTCATAAACTGTGTTCCCATTGGAATTTACCACAACTTTTTGTAGAATGACAGACTTAAATTCAATAGGGACACACTGTAAACTGATGTCTCTGTCACTTTACTGTGACCAGAATGTTAACTATCAAGTTGCAAGTGGTTGCAGAAGCTATCCGGAAAGCTACAGTAAGTTAATAAAGATGCTAAAAACATCTGCCATAACCACGCTATAAACCAATTTACAAATTGGACATTTTCCTGTATTACATCACAGCTACACAGAGATAAATAGCAGATGCATGAAAATGGTGGCCTGGTTCCCTGTCTCCTTGATTTATGACACACTAATGCTCACATTATAAGCCTCGATAGGAGCAGTGTGCACACGGTTATGGTTTATTCTCATCCATTCGCCTTTTGAAACATGGCAGACTGAATCAAAGTTGTTGGATTTTTCATTGGTTTAGATGTCGGTGAAAATGCTGAAGAATATGTAGAAATCTATAGGATATTCCGTCAACACAGATGAGAAGAGGACGTATGCACTGTCTTTGAATACTGGAGAAAATATTCATTTTTTTTCCTCTAAAAATGTACATGTTAAACGTGAATACCGTACTGTGATAGCTCTCTATTCCATACAATGTTAGCACATGCAAATGTCATATCATGCTTAGGTCAAACATGATTTGCACAGCATCTGCAAATGTGACATTCTGCCAATCTTGCATGCCAAATAAACTTTCTGTAGCATTTACAAAACTCCATATGGGAATGAGCAGAACACTGACATAAAGGAATGTTGTGATAAGTTTCTGCGTGGTCACAAAAAAAAAGTCTAATGGGAACATGGCTTTAAATGTTGCTCTTAGCTACGTAATCACCGACTCACTTTTTGGATGGAGTGGATTCTTCTACTACTTCCTTTACATTCTCATCTTTCTCCTTTGGTGTGGGTGACTTCATGTTGACAAAAAGGGTGGACTGTGTCTTGCCTTTTTTCTGCTTTGGTTCCGATGGTTTTTCAGGTGCTGTGTGTCAAAAGAAAGTCCTAATCACTGTGAACAGATTGCACAAGTCAATTGAAAGATGTATTAACTGTTTTTTTAAATTAAAGACTACCTACACAGGTAAACGCTAACAGGAATTGTCTGAGATTTCTATTTCTAGTTTGTGAAATTATGCATCACTGACAAATTCTTTGTATTAATTACATAATTTATGCTTACAATTTAAAATGATACTACTACTGTGGGTCTCCCAAATGTGAGCTCACTAAAAAAGTGAACAATGCTATGACAAGTTACAAGTGACTCTGAGTTGTTGATACATGCATCCAAACCAGTCTGCAATGATACTTTATTAGCTTGATAAGTACAATCAGACTGACTTACGACTCTTGGCTTTCAACTTGGTAGTTTTCTTCATTCCATCAAAGACACTACTTCCTTTGCTTGCAACTTGAGTCTCAGAGCTGGTCCTCTTAAATGGATTCTTCCTTGTTTGGCTGCTGGGAAAGGCTGAGGTTATAACTTCTGTGGAATTAACAGGAAAGTAAACTTTATGTCCGGTTCGGATGTAATGTTATTTTGCTTAAGCCACAAAGAAAAAAAAGGATAAAAACAAATCTTGTTGCCCTACCTTACCACAGCCAGTAGGGCACTACAAACATCCAGTTTGTTGATGTGAGCACTGCAGTTAATTCTCTTCATCCAGAATGGGACGTCCTTGGCTGGACTTGTGTCTATTTCTTCCAAAGATCATGTCTATTCTGTGCAAATTCCATCTTGTATCAATTGATAGCTGACACCCTCTATTCCTTACCTTTTTTGGGTTTGATGTGAATTGCTGGTGCTTTCCTTGATTTCATCTCTGGCATTCCATCGTCATCATCATTATAATCACCTCCATCATCTTCCATTCCTTCCTCTTCTTTTTCTGCCTCATCATTACCATCTTGTCTTGAAGTGTGGTGAGCTAGAACTCTTGACTGAGACAGCGTTGACCGTTCTACTGAGTTCTTACCTCTCCCACTGGAGATAGAAAGTACAGAATTATGTTGATGGAGACTCAAATCACACAAGAGTGAGCAGGCAAGGTAAAAAGTACTCTCAGTGCTCAAAGTGATAACAACTGTCCTGGGTTTAGAAGCATACTTAGGCTGAAATTTAAACATTGTTCTAATTAAAGGACTTCTATCACATGAATGTGAGTTTAATGCTTGGAGTTTTAGTATGGAGAAAAAGTGACAGAATTTTATCGGAGATGACAAAAATCATAACAAAAAGCAGTAATAGAAGTAACTCCTGTAATATGTTCCACTCAAAGACTTGGACACCCTCACCCACAAAAAGAAGAAATCCAAAGGTGAAATTTTGATTCTAAGCTTGAGCTAGAACACTTCAAATTGCTCTTACACTGAATTGGTTGTATTTGCATAATACCCATCATGCTCCTCTTCTTCCTCTTCCATTTCATCGGCAGCCATTACTTCTTCCATCATCTGTTGTGCTAGCTGGTTAAGTCTTTCTGCCAAAGCCATCCTACGTGACCTACTGGCATATTTGATTGCCAAGCTGACAGCATGTTGTGATGTCATCAGCTGACAGATCTCAGCAGCACGGTATTCTCTGTCGGTACGACATGCTAGCTGTAAAATCAGAGATTGAAAAAGAACCATTCAAAACCAAATATTTCTGAAAACTTTGAAAAACGTACTGGAATAAAAAACAATAATTATTTTCCACTTTGTGACATCCATAATGGATTGAGAGGCAAATTTTTCAACACACACCTCAAATTTAATCCCCATGCATGCTACATCAAGTCAACTTCTCACGATGTCTGGTTTCCAAACTTCCCTTTAAACCCACAAGCTTCCAGTGGATATAAAAATATTTCAGTTCATTTAGGCCAGTCACCTTTGATCTATAATCTTTGTAGAGCCTTTTGAAGTGGTAACTAAATGACTTGTGAGGCACAATATATAAAAGCCTGAAACACATTCATTTGTTGGTTCAATTCATGTACAGGTCATTTTCAACATGGCATTACATATCTAGTAAATAATATGAACTTGTAGATAGATTTTTAACTCACCGCAAATAGCTTCATGATATTGTCTTGTTTTTCTCTGTCAGACTGTGCTTTACACATCTCATCAATCTCATAACCCTGTGATACACTGTAGTTAATGTGTTTACTCAGAGTATCTGCCCTCCAGTAAGCCTCCTGAACAACAAAAGTGATGTATAACAATTTAAGAACAGAACATGTCAAAAAAAGGAAGTTTAACAATGTCCTCAAAGTTTATAGAATAGAGCACAGCTCATCAATGCCATCAAGAGCCAGACTCTTTGGCTTCTGCTCACCTCCATGATTCCTTTCTCAGTGTCTAGATCACAGAGAGGTATTTGGAATGGTAAGATCATAACTGCAGGTCTAGGTAAGGTTGGTGGGAAGGGAGCTCCCTTGCATTGGATGCATCGTAGTTGCTGAGGATTTTCATTCAAACCAACCACCCAGAAATGATCTGATCGACTCTTGGTCTGAAAAACAAAGAAAACACAATCACTATTTTGGACGAATTGGTTTTTTTTTACAACACCACAAACAATATAATTGCATACATGTACGATTGAAAATGCATGTACTGTAGTGCTAGACACATTTTTGAAAGTCCTTTCCTTTTTTGAAACTAAGTCTGGTTTACAATATTTCAACTTTTAATGTATGCATCAAAAGCCTTTTTAAACTGATTTCTGTCATATTAATAATTGTGGACCATTGCAATTTATTGAGAATGGTATGAACAATAAATATAACAAGGAAATTATTATCAGTCTAAATGTAGATACCAGATTCATTAAAAGCTAATTACATGTAGAAAGTTTGAAAGACAGGAGTTAGGTCTTTCCAAAAGGGACAGTTAGCTAACAGCTAGACAGCTAAAACCATAAAGCAATCCGAAGTCTGGTGTGACGGAGGTGAAGTAGGGTAGAAACATTAGCCAAAATGAAGACTGGGTCAAACAGCCATTCAGCTGAACATCCTTAACGCAGTTCAGGCATCTTGTTG